GCCCATCTGCCCCCCCCTCAGAACGGCCTGCAAGCCACAGCAGAACCATGCAGGAGTCCCCCGGATCAGTCGGAATGGACGGCAGCTACAGCAGCAATGTCCCAGCCTTCCTCACTAAACTCTGGACCCTGGTAGAGGACCCGGAGACGAGTCGCCTCATCTGCTGGAGCACAGTGGGTATCTGACCCGAGTTCTGGCTGCAACTGTCTCACTTTACTTTGGTTAGATCCCAATAGCAGCTTCTGCTAACAAATTCAATATATTATTCTGCTTTATCTAGCTATATCTGGCTAGATCTAAAAGAGATGAATATTTGAGCTAGTCCTGCTTCCGTATCCATGTACTGAGCCTAGATACTCTCACAGGCTATGTACTAGGGATGGATCAGCCTAGGAAGGACTGGGAGAAAGTTTAATTTTTTTTAAGTATAGTGGCACGAATAACGCAGGATGAACATTCAGGTCAAGGTTTACTTGTTAAAAATTTGAGGATTCTGGCTGGGGTTTGAGGTGAAATATACCTTATTTTCACAATATTTTCATTGCAGTGGATACAGGTGTTTGTTCTTATAAAAACTGCCAAAATGATACATTCGTTTCAAGTAACAAAATCCCGATTTAATAAGACAAAGTATGCAAACAATGATTAATATATTAAAAAAATCCTTTTGTCTTTTATCGCTTGTGTTTTAATATTTTAATATTATTTTCTAAATATTTAGAAAACCATGTTATATGCTATTTTTATTTAAAATACACGTGTGTTTACACAATGTACCTGCCTCAGTGCTGGTTTATCCGCTTAAAGTAAACAGTAAGAAACTTGACAACATGATATTAAAAGGTAGGCGGCAACAAATATGATATAAGCTTTTTTCATGCTGTAACTCAGGCAAATCGTCTCTGCGTCCATGACCAAGGCTCACTCTGTAGTACCTGGTGAGCATTTCTTTTCATCACTTTATTCCAATAAGAGGAAAAATAATTTCATAATGTCATTACAGTCACAGTATACTGTTTTTGTTAACGATAAATAATGCACTGCTCTCTGTTCATAAACATGGGGGAAAGGCTGCAGAACAATTATTTTTGTATAATAGAGAGCACAAAGATGAAATATTAGACTATATTTGGCTTTCTGAGAACATGCAACTAAAAGATTATAGATATTGCTGTCATCCATGAAAGTAGAAGTGCAATGTATTGTGATTTAGGGATAAAATGCAAGCAATGAAGAATACCTTAGAGGAAAGAGATTGTTGACATGTGATAGGAAAGATCAATGACAACACTTCAGCATGACGCTGCACAATGGAAAGAGACACTGGGTTCACCAGTGCATACAGGCACAGTTTAACCATAACCACAGTGTGTACAGTTTACTCACCTGTCCATTGATCTAGGCTGCCCAAACCAAGCAACACAAAAACAGACGGGAACAATAGCTGTGCCGTGTTTGTACATTATTATTTGAATCAAATGAAGGGAGATCATCAGCAATGTATACAATGCTCCTATTAAGAATAATACAGTACATCTCCCCATATTTTTCTTCCCAGTTTCTTCACATCTGCTTTTAGAAGAACATTTAGTCCAGCTACACGGTACTACTTGGTTCTACCCGGCCAGATGTTCCACTGAAACTCACTATCTTCAAACTCCTGAGTGCTGAAATAACAAGCGTCTCTGAATCTCTTCAATTTGTTCTCTTCCCCAGACCGGCACTAGTTTCCACGTGTTTGATCAGGGAAGGTTTGCCAAAGAGGTTCTACCCAAGTACTTTAAACATAACAATATGGCCAGCTTTGTGCGTCAGCTTAACATGTGTGAGTACCAGTCTTTAAAGGATTTTAACAAGGGAGTCATGGCAGTGATTTGACACAGATGCAGAAATGTGTCCGTACACTGCAGCCTGTCAAGTGGACAGTTTGTGTGCTAGAGTTTTTATTTGTGTGCTAATTATGGTTTAAAACCGTTTGTGATTAGCATCCCATGATGATTGTCAATGCACAGTGATCGCTCAGCTTATACTGTACCTCGCAGATGGCTTTAGGAAAGTGGTGAACATCGAGCAGAGTGGTCTGGTGAAGCCCGAGAGGGACGACACAGAGTTTCAGCACCTCTACTTTCTGCAGGGCCATGAGCACCTGCTGGAGCACATCAAGAGGAAGGTATGTCGGCGTCCAGAAGGAGGCAAATGGGAACGAAAGTAGAAGCAGGCAGCCATGAATAAAAATCACAGCGAGGTGAATGAAAATATAGATATGCACAGACCAAGTTGCAGACCCACTCGCTTGTATAAATGCTCAGGCAGGATCGCTGACACATGCGAATAAGCAAGACGAATCTCTCACCAGTTTGTCAATACAGGCCACAGTCTCAGTGTGCCCCCCCTCCCCCCTCGGGTACACATAGGTGTCCATTGTGAAGAGCGAGGAGACCAAGGTCCGTCAGGAGGATCTGAGCAAGCTGCTGTACGAGGTGCAGGTGCTGCGTACCCAGCAGGAGAGCATGCAGTGTCAGATGCAGGACGTGAAGCAGTAAGTGCAGCTTAGAGTTTGCACGTTCTCTCCGCGTCACACAGGCATGCAGTTTGGCTAACTGGTGCTTTTAAATTACCCATAAAGTATGCAGTTGGGCAGCCAGCTGACCTTGGAACCACAGAGCTCTTTTCCTCCCTACTTGGGAGTGTTTGGTTTCTCTCCTTCATTGTCATCTGGCTTTCTGTCTTTCATTTATTATTATTATTTCTTTTTCCCTGTTTTGTAATATTCTGTATAAATGATGTAGGAATGTATTACAACACACCATTTCTGGTGACTCCGTTGTGAAAGGCGCTATATAACATTGAATTGAATTGAATTAAACTGAAGTGAAGTGAAGTGCAGTGTGTATATGCCCTGTGATGGCCTGGCATTCTGTCCAGAGCATATCCCAGCCTGGTACCCTGGTGCTGGTAGTAGATGTTGTAGATGTTGTAGAAGAGAGATAGAGACAGATACACACACATGGTGCTGGTTGGAGATGTTGTAGATGTTGTAGAGGAGAGATAGAGATAGAGACAGATACACACACATGGTGCTGGTTGTAGATGTTGTAGAGGAGAGATAGAGACAGATACACACACATAAATGCATCAAAGAGGAATCACACCATCCCGGTGCAGTGGCTACTGCTACAAATCTGCATAAATTGCAGTGGTCTGGCCCACTGTGTTTCCCCAGTCAACAGAACAATCAACCCCCCTGAAAACTGGGTCAGGTGAATCCAGTCAGGTGGTCACTCAGGACAGGTAGCTCAGGTGAACCGTTTGTATGCTGCTGTTCTAGAATCAGGTGGTAATCACGCTGAGTCCACATGGAGATTTGACACGCCCCGCTCACACAGATGGGGCTATTTTTGGAAACCTGGGCATAGCTACAAAATAGCGCCATTAAAGTTTTGCAGACAGTAATATTTTATGAGCATTATTATTTAACAGCACTAGAGGTCTTGGATGATGAATCCTAAATGCACAAAGCAGCAGAAATTCAGTGTTTTATTTCATCATTTAAATTTTCATTGCAAAACATATATTTATTGATATTTCTGTATTATATAGAGCATGGCACCCGTCTTGCGGATCACCAGACGCCTTCCACCTGACAACACAATGAATCAGATGCATGAGAAGGATCTGTCCCCCCCCACCCTTCCTGTCCCCTCCAGACAAGCACTCAGCAAGGACTCTTCATATTCAGATACACATAGACACACAATTAAGAGAGAGATGGATGCTGAAGGGGATAGCAAAGACATGGGAAGTGTGGATCTGGAGAGAAGTGGAAGCAGAGTCAGCCATAGCAAGTTACTGTATTGATAGGAGAGCGACTTCCAGACAGACACTCAGACGACAGAGTGACAGAGAGCTCCAAAGAGCAGGGACCGGGACCTCGGCAGTAATTGGTGCGACTGATGTGTTTTTGTAGCCAGAACGAAGTACTGTGGAGAGAGGTGGTGTCTCTGAGGCAGAACTTCACGCAGCAGCAGAAGGTCATGAACAAGGTGAGGAGACTGGGCCTCCAGTCCACCAGTTAGAAAGCTGTTGCTTCTCCATCCTTGCTTACACTTCCTGCTTTGATTTCCTTGACTTGGCAGAAATCATGATGGTTTCATTGTTCATCTCTGATTATTGCAATATCTTGTGTCTGTTTTGCAAGAACATTTGTTTTATCTTTTGTTGTGCAATTGTGCTGACAAGTTTATGTTTGAAAGAGCAGGACAATGTGATTTGGTGTGTTAGCGTATGTCTCTGCTGCTGAATCATTTCTGTGGCACCAACTTCCTGTCTGCCCATGTGTGGCAGCATATGTATGTGTGTGGTTTACTTCCTTGGCCTTGATTAACTCTTTTGGGTTTCCCATCATGCTCTTGGCTTGTCAGCTGATCCAGTTCCTGTTCACTCAGATGCAATCGAACTTGCCGAACAGTGTTGCGATGAAGAGGAAGCTGTGAGTACATCGCTGGGCTCCTGTACACACACACAGACACACGCATACACATGCACACACACACACACAGACGTGCGAAAGCCCAATCCAGCTGGACAAGGTCAGCTGACGAGCCGTGGCGAGCATGAATGGGCCGCAGTGCTGAGTCAGACCTGCTGACTGTTCCCTCCCCTCGCAACCCCTCGCGACCCACTGAACCTGGGGCACGCGACCCTCCATCCTAATGTGCCCTGTCAGCATAGGTGAGCAGGGGGGGTTAAGCCTCAGTGGGGGCCTGCATCTCACGCTCCAGGGCCCTGGAGTAAAGCTCAGCTACCGCTCTGGCTGAGTTCAATACAGCATATTCTGCACAGTTTATAAAAAGCCAGCCAGGGGAAAAGTCTTACATCAAAAAGTCATGCCGACACTCCTAACCCTAACCCTAACCCTAATCCTAACCCTAAACCCAACCCTAACACTCACACCTCCACGGTTGTGGATAATTATCCTGCCTGTGGTCTTTGTGCGTTTTCTCTGCTTTGCTTTTCTACTGCTTCCCTCCTATTGTCCAAATACATGCATTTAGACAAATTGGTGTCTCTGAATTGCCCATAGTGTGTATGTATGTGCCCTGTGATGGACTGGCATCACCTCCATGGTGTTTTTCTCTTTTGGGTTTATTGTTGCCTGGAACAGGCTCCAGGCCTCCGCTGTGACTCTGTATTAAACAAGTGGATGGATGGATGGATATTTGATGATGTTCTCTGCTTCTACTGCTCTTATTTGCAAAATTACAGATTTTAACTGACTATTTACCTGAGATATGTCCCAGCCAGTGTTGGAATTCCAAAAGCTCAGGCCTACAAAGGTACACATTCAGTCAAGTTATGATAAGATGCTCTGGAAAGCAAAAAAACGGTGGCATGCAGATCGAGCTGACTGCCCCCCCCCCCCTCACTCATTTTTTCCTCCCCAGCGGCCTGAAGAGCGTCGTGGCTGCCCA